ATAAGAGAAGAGAATAAAAAAAGATAAGAAACCGAGGAAAAGAGAAGAATTGGATTTGCGTTGGAAAGAATAGGCAGAACTTGCAGAGGCTATAACTCCTTTTATATAACTCCGAATTGGGTGATTATTGAGCCTAATCTCAAGGATATTTTGAGAGGAACAATATTCTGTGAAATGTCAATACCCCAAAACTGACCATAAGTGCCCGAAAATTGGCTTCAAAGATAAATGGGATGATTTGTGTAAAAAGAGGAGAAGAAAAGTAGAGAATTGATGTGAATAAGTGGGAAGAATTAAGGGTCTATTTATAGTGTTGAGGGTGTAGAAAGTATAGAGCATAAGGTGGAATGAGATTAGAATAAGAACATGATAAGTTTAAGTTTGTTCAATGAATTTGAGTAACATTTGGTCCAGATTAGTAGGTTGGTTAAAAGATAAGAAAAATTAAATGGATACACATATGGTTGGGAGAAGGAAGATAGGAACAAAATGAGATAGAGAATTAGAGGTTAAGTTAAATAATTATTAACAAACTAAGGCGATAAAATCACTCTTAAAAACATGATAAGCTCACGTTCACAAAAATTTCTTTTTTTTTCCAAATGAAAATCATAATAAAATAATTGAATAAATAAATATTTTAGATAATATCAAAATTAGTTAAATACATGATGTATATTAGATATTTCTCTTGAAATAGTTAGTATAATAAAGTATGGACCGACCTTAAAAAAAAGATAATTAAACCTATATTATTAATTTAGAAATCCAAAAATAATTAATTATTCAAATGATTAAATACTTATATTTGACTTCAAAATTCAAATATTATTTTGGCTCCAAATAATGAATTTACTAAAATACCCTTTTTATAAAATAATTCTTAATTAATTAATTAGAAAATACGTTATGGGGTATTACAGTCGTGGCTTGAGAAATGGTAACATGGGTGTGCATCCATGTATAATGTGCGGAAATTTAAGGTAAATTTCCATGATCACAAGTAATTAGGATATTCCAAATCATTGGGAGCCGTTGGGAGTGAAACCCAAGCAACGCATCATCAAGAAGTCTACTAAAGGATATGATGAGAACATTTTTGCCTTAAAAGGCAATAATAAAGAAGATGTTAAATGGAAAGTTCGTTGTTGAACGTTGATGATTGTAGGTTGTCAAGCTGAAGGTCACAAATCATGAAAAATGAGTGGGAGCCATTGCTTGGACAATAAATCTTAAATCACATATAATCCATGACACTCTCTAATTTTATCATCTTATTATGAAAGTTATCAGTAATGAAGATGCTAAGATTAGCAAAGTAGTTATAACTTAACCTATGCAATAAGTGAATGACAACATTTTCAATTGCATGAAAGAAATCAAGCATATTAGATATGGGTGTGATTTCTATAGATGTTTTATAAAGAGTGATACTCTTAAAAAATTTTGAAAAACCATTTATCATAAGATGAACCATTCAGGTTTTGGAGTATTTAAAATTTCATGCAATTTTTATCACTCCGTTTACTATTTAATTGTGCTTTAGAATTAAATAATGAGTCCATTCGATTTAAAAGAATATTCAAAATAGGGTATCAAGACAATGTCTTGGATAAAGAAACACCTATTAAGTGAACATTGAATATTTTTTATCGAAAATTATCCCTAATCAAGGTCATTTATTTCGTGGACGATTAATAACCATTAGAGATTAGTGTGTAGTATGATTTATAGAACTGTTTCTTGTGCTATGAGGACATAAATCATTTGCACAGGTATTGGTTAAGAACCATACTTGATCGACCTATGAGAATACTTTAAGAGATTCGAAATCGTCATAAGTATATTTCTCATTATTTCTATCAGAACTCTTTTCCTTGACCATGAGTATTGTGAGGTCTCTTGTTTGAGTTCTAGTCCGTTTTTGATGTCGGTCAAACGTCTGCCGTAATTGGGGATTATAACGACGGCTATCAGGCGGCTAGGTCCTCTTAGTAAGAGAAGCTACATTACAAGACTGGGAATGTCCCCCTACTAATAATAGGGAACATGTCTTGTTGTTTACAAGGCCTCTCGAAGAGAAAGACTATAAAAATGCATGGTCGTGTTCAGATGGATTTTAGAAATCATCTGCTTATTAACAGTCAAACTCGGATTTTGAGAAACACTTCTGGACGTAACAGGGATGACGAATAATCTTACCCTGTAGTTCATGAAGAGACATGAAGAGACATAGGAAAGGGGCTATACATTGAATGCTCACTTGTCCGGAAGGACAAGTGGGAGATTGAAAGGAATGGTGTACTTCGAACAAGTGTATTATTCTAATAGTGGGTTCAAAATTATTAGAAAGCTAATATATTCAGTAAGGTCAAGTGATCGGAATGCCTAGGTGGAGGCCGCTTCTGATCAGTAATATTAATGTATAATTAATATTACACCTTAATCTTGACTGAACCCTTCGGGTCAAACCCAAGCAATTAACGAACTGACTCGACAAATTAATTCGGAAGAAATTAATGAGTCACCCGAGTATTAAATATTTAGACGTTGGAAATTCGAGTTGGAGCGTCGAAACTGAGCGTCGGAGAATCTCAAATGTCGAGCCAAAATTTAGGATTTGGCAAGACGGGAAAATGCTTCAAGTAACAAGTAAAATCCTAGCCACGCGAAAGGCTAGGAAAGCGCGCCCAATAGGAGTGTGCCATGTGGCAGCACACATGGCAAAACGTCATTTGGCAGCACGCGTGGCAGCGCACGTGGCAGCCGCCAAGTGGCAGTGCGCCATGGTGGAAGCGCACCACGGTGGCGGCACGTGTGGCAAGGGGCCGTGGACCCGGGTGACGGGTCATGGACACAGGCCAAAAGAAAGTGGCCCAACCGAACCCAACTTGGGGCTCAAGGTTGGGTGACACATGGTTAGCTCACAATGCATGTGAGTTGCCTTGGGGACCAAGTGGGAAAGTGGTCCTCACCTAACCATGTGACACTTGTTACTTGTTACTTGGTTTATTTAACTAAGGTTTGAATTCATCAATCTTTCCATGTGGGATCTTTTTGTGAAAAGTCCCACATTGAAAAATGAGTGGAATTCACAAGCTATTCTTCCTTATAAATAGCCAAAGCATGGCTTGAGAATTCTTTGCTTGAGTAGGAGTTAAATAGAACATTGCCTTTGCAACAACCCTTAAACTCATATAATACTCGAGTTTTGGTCGGGCCTCGCTAACCTCGAGGCAACAGACCTAAAAGTCGGTAGTCGTTCTTGCGGGTGGATTTCCATTGGAGGCTTGTGTTTTTGGGGATAAGCTTTCAAGTAAGAGCCCATTTGGTCGGGCGAAGCACGCGACAAAGGTATATTTCCTATTTTGCCCTTTTGTGTTTATTTTATGCATTAGTGATATTAATTATTGCGAGCGTTATTCTTTGCTTGAGTAGGACTCACCAAACCCCAACACCCCAGTCCTAGACTCAACCGTTCCAGGAGACCGGCTGACTACTGATCTAGGTTGTGTCGTGTGTTGTTGGTGATGAATCCATTTATTTGAATGTAAATGTACAAACGGAAAAAAGTAAGAATGAGCTCAAGGGGGTAGAGACGGTACCTTAAAATTCTGAAGGGGGTCAGGCGTTGACCGGCGGCTGTAGCAAGCAGGTTTAAGTGATTCTGCTTATAGATAACACAAGCGGATGTAATCGGCTTGGAAGGCTGGCGAAAAAGGGGACTGTTTGTGTATAACACAGGCGGATCTTAGACTTTCTCTCTCTAGACTTTTCTGGAAACGTCCAAAATGAGAGGGGTATAACTTGTATTTATAGAGGGGTAATTTCAGAGGCATCCCCGTAATTTCCCAAGAATGTGAAAAGTTATATTTCACAGTTAAAACAATTCAACCAGTGGTAGAGTGACATGTGTCACAGATGCCACGTGGCGTGCCAAGTCACATCTGTGAGGTGCAAATGTTTTGGGTAAAAATTACCCATTCCACGTGGACTAGCCAAAAGACGACACATGTCAGCCCTATAAATAGGGCCCAAGTGGGCCTATCCCTATTTGACACGTGGCGTTCTCAGAATTCAGGAGAAAAGACGGCCTTCAGGCCCAAATTCCAAAAAAGCCGTAATACGGTGCAGCCCATCAAAATTATGTCAGAGTGACCTAATTAGGGGCACATTTACCAATGACTCTATAAATAGGGAGATTCCCCCCATTTTGGGGACATTTACAATTCATTTATTACAACAACCCTACATTCTCTCACATCATAGAAAACACATGATCTCGAAATCTGAGAAGATCTCAATTTTAACTGTTCCGCACCTTTTCGTATTCTTCGATCGATACTAACTTGATCGTCGGAGGCGGAGCTCCAACCAATCGTAGTCCTCGTGTTTTGCAGGTACAGATTGTGTCGGACCAGTCTTGGAGACGTAACTCTCCCGATGGACAAAAACACCCAAAACAACAACGATTCAAGTCATATAACTCCACCGACAACTACCTCGCAATCCCTCCACAAGTCAGGTAGCTCCCACACTCTCCACTAGCCTAGCAACTAGCAAGCCCTCCACACGCCAGGTAGCAGGAAAACCTCCACTGGTAGCAAGCCCTCCACACGCCAGGTAGCAGGAAAACCTCCACTGGTGTAACACCTCGCACCATGTCCACTAAACTTCGATAAACTACGCGATCACCACCAAAGGCACTCAGCTTACTCACACCAAAGGCACTCATCTTACTCTGCTAGCAAGCCCTCATTTTTGTTTTTGGCATTTTCTCACTCCTAGGGTTTCGTTAATGGAACGTTTGCGAGACCGTTTGTCAAACATATAACGAACGTTAGCTATAACTAACTGTCAAAAATTCTCATTCCAAAAATAACCTTCCAACTAACTTGTTAAATGACAAATATGACCCATGTAAACTAATTTCAATTTTCATGGAGATGAACATGAATTCGCTCGTTTGATTTCATCACAAATCTATTGAGGATTTCAAAAGCATACACCCTCGTGGTAGGCAGCCTGCTTTCGCACCAAAACTCTCAAATATGGTACCTATTTGGACACCTAATTTGACCGAGTTTTAGTATAAGCATAGATCCTTGGTTAGGTTGTAAAATTCATTGTATCATTGTGAGTTTGTGACTGTGTTTCCTTGTACATCTTGATGTGTTTTGACCAAAAACTGAGTTGGCCAACAGTATAAGCTCAACTTATAAGATCGAAGTGGTGAACAGTAACACATTTGTTAACCAACCCATTCCTCGTAATCATCGAAAGAATCACTGCTACTCTACATTCTCCATTGAAATACACTCAACTTTGTATCCTCCATTGAAGCAGCTTCCCAGGTAACTTGTTGAGCATCCTTGATTCTTTTTCATTTTTATTTTCATTCAGATTCAAATGCTTATTGGCTCATTCCTTGACTCCTATACTTGCTGATTTTTTATAATGTTTTTAAACTAATACTCTGATTAACCTAATACAATCAAATTGCTTGTCGCATTTTGTTTAGTTTTACCACTTTATGTTGTTGCTACAGAAGAATATTATGTGATTTTTTGAGCCTAATTTGATAATTGTATTGTGATGAACTAGGAATTAGACATTTTCTCCGTATAATTATGTGAATTTTCGACCCTAATTTGATCATGGAATCAAAGTATGTGTTGTAGAACTTATTAATGTTGTCATGGAATAAAAAAAATTTCCCTAAAACTGTGATTTTTCAAGCTTAATTTGATCACTGAATCAAATTTGGTTGCTAGTGTTGCAGAACTCATTGATGTTGTGATGGAACTTGAAATTATACATTTCCTCCCTGGGTCAAGGGCGGCCGCCCCTCGTGCCCTGGCTCAGGGACGGGCCTGTTACAAACCATTTAACATAAGGTGCAAAATCACCTCAAAGCTGAGTTCTTCAAGAACCACGATAAGTGCTGACTTGCCTGAATCTGAGGAGACGGCGAAGTTGAAATCGAATCCCTATCCCGGAGGAATGGGACCCCACACGGGGAGAGACCCAAATGTATCGAAACCGAATTGGTTGAGGCAGAAAGCTCCCCAAGGGAAGAAATTTGAGGAGGTGAAAGAGTCACTTTCTCGCTTGAATCTCCACACTGTTTGTGAGGAAGCCCAGTGCCCCAACATTGGAGAGGTATCTCTTTTGTTTCTTTTTTTTTTTTTTTTTTTTTTTTTTTTTTTATGATCATTTGTGATTGTGTTGATAGTTTCTGGAAAGGAGACTTTGACTTGAGTATGTGTCCAAGTGTTTTGCGATTGTGTGAAAAATTTCATGAGATTGGCTGAAAATAAAGGGTTTGAAGTGTCCTGCCCGTGTCTGGAGGATCCAACATGGGTACTTAAGTTAAAAACAAAGAGTTTAAGTAATGTAGGACATTGTTGCATCATGCCAAATTGTTTGTCGTTGCATTTGATTAAATATATATTTGTGGCATACAAAGAACTAAATTAAAATTAATCCTACTAGAATTTACTTCTTAAATTGGAAAATAATGTTGCTTAGCGTATGATGATAGTAGGTTAGAAGAGTAGTCATTAAACTTTTCCAAGTGTTTGTTAGCACATGAAGTATTAGGATCATTTAACATCAATCTAAAATTTACATTGCAGTGTTGGAATGGGGGTGGGGATGGAATTGCAACTGCCACGATAATGGTTCTTGGTGATACGTGTACTCGTGGTTGCAGATTTTGTGCTGTTAAAACGAGCAAAAACCCTGCACCACCTGATCCAATGGAACCAGAGAATACTGCTACTGCTGTTGTAAGTTGGGGGTATGTATAATACACTTTTTGGTAATTTTTTTTTTTCATTTTTATTATTTTACTCAATTCCTGTCCTCTTACTTTCCTTTTGTATTACATGATGCTTTTTGATTGGTATGTAAGCTCTAAAACTTGTTAGTGTTTCATTTATTAATTTAATATATGGAAGGTAAACATTTCACCAAAAAAATTAAGTGTTCCTCAGACCTCAGGTGCTTGATTAAATAGCCCTTAACAGCATAGGGCTTATAAAAGTTGTAAATTATAGCCTAGTAATGCATACCTGAAGGAACCATCACTATATGTTTTGTTAGTCCATTTTTTGTTTGGAAATCCAAACCTAAGAGTAGAAATTACCTATAAAGTTCAAGTAATCTCCAACAAACTTTATTTAGTTCTTATTAACCTTTACAGCAACTAAAGAACATAAAATTAAGGTTAGATTGTCTTAGGGTATAGAAACTTGCTGATATGTCTAAAGAATGTTAGGATTTTGAATAACATCCAGAGTATAAATGTCTTCATGTTTATTTATTTATTTATTTATTTATTTTTTATTTATTTATTTATTTTATTTATTTATTTTTTTGGCATTTTTCATTGAACATCTCTCCAGATGTGCATTAACTGGTTTGCTCTTTTTTTTTAAAAAAAAAAAAAAATCATTATCTATATGCGCCACATCTTTATCTTGGAGCTCTTAGCATATTAGCACTATAATATTATTCCATGAAATCTCTCATAAATAATGCAGCCTAATGCTTGATTCTTTTTAACCATATGTCTCTTATACCCATAAAATTTGGGTTTATAAACTAGGAAGAGTTATGGTGTGTTGTAGGACAGTTACCCCTTTATTAGTATAGATCAGCTGGTCTGGAGTAAGGATGCTTATGTAATCACTTTAGAACCTTTTCATGACAATTTATACTTTGGCAAAGAATAGGCTATTGGTTGTAGTTTGCTGATTATATAAAATATACATATCTGAGCGCTAAATGTCTTGATCTATATACTGATATCCTTTGGGAATACATTGTAGTGTTGATTACATCGTTCTAACAAGTGTTGATCGTGATGATTTGCTTGATGGTGGAAGTGGCCATTTTGCTCAAACAGTCAAAGCCATGAAGGTGTAGTTGGAACTTTTTAGTAGCTTATTGTGGACCTTTTCTTCAGTTTTCTTAATTCTAACCATGTCAATTACCAAGAGAGAAAAGATGCTTGACAAGGAAACATTTGACGGTGCAGAAACTCAAGCCTGAAATCATGGTTGAATGTTTAACTTCTGATTTTAGGGGAGACTTGAAGGCTGTAGATACTCTGGTGCACTCGGGATTAGATGTTTTTGCTCACAACATTGAAACTGTCAAGCGGCTTCAGAGAATAGTTAGAGATCCTCGGGCAGGGTCAGTTTTTTTGTTTCTATGTTAACAATTTAGTATCAGCATACTGGTACTGCCTCTCTTTTAAATTCATGTCTTGCATAATTTTCATGGGTAAAATTGTGGGCCTTTAAATCATTCTGCTCTAAATTTATAGGATGAGGCTATTGGAAACTGAACCTTGACTAGCAACAGACCTACTGCAAGTACAGAAACTATAGTTTGTCTTTCAAATTATGTGATAAGACCAAACATGGTTTTCTTTTAAGTAGTCAAACTTCAAGGAACTCAGAAACTAGGTGAAATCAGTGGCTTAGAAAAACCTAGCTTGGTCTGGAGACTCTGGACAAATCTCTGATAGACTTGGTAGCATTTTGATGTTCTCAAGATAAGAGTTTTTGTAATTTTGTGCATTACCTCAAACTTTATGTAAAACAATTGACACAAACTTTATTAGGAAGATGCAAGCCAAAAGCAGATAAAGTGGAAAATAGCAAAAAGAACTTTATAGCATGCCTCTTCAATGGGACTATAGCATTGCCTTTCTAAACCTTTGATCATTTCAAATTATTAATGTTTCCTAATAGCAGAATTATATAAATTTTGTATGCTCTACTTGATTTTGTAAGAAAAAATTATAGTTACGGTCATACCTTAAACTAACATGTTTGTCCAAGCCTCCAAGGCACACATATATACATATGTAATATTCAATAGTGATTTTATTTGATGTGCAGGTATGAACAGAGCATGTCAGTGCTCAAGCATGCAAAAATTAGCAAGGATGGGATGATCACAAAAACTTCAATCATGCTAGGGCTTGGGGAAACAGATGATGAATTGAAGGAAGCCATGGCTGATCTTCGAGCCATTGATGTAGACATTCTGACACTTGGACAATATTTACAAGTGAGAAATTTATGCTGACTTTATTGGCTTTGTGTTGTGCTTTGATTTTTTGTACTCACCAAGTTCAACTCTAACTTTATATTCATCCCCAATTCAACTTCATGAAATTTTATCTGCTATACCAGTTCTATGAGGACTTAAGCTATTCATCTTTCTTTTTTTTTTTCCCTTGCAGCCAACACCATTGCACCTCACCGTTAAAGAGTATGTTACTCCTGAGAAATTTGCTTTTTGGAAAGAGTATGGAGAAGCTTTAGGTTTTCGCTATGTTGCTAGTGGCCCACTCGTAAGTATATTACCTTGTTTAATTGAATTTTAAGATGATACTTTTGATTTCTATTTCATATATGGCTGAATGCTCAGGAGTTCTCGAATTAAGTGGACTATTGAAATTAATAGTGTTCAAGCTAATCATGTCCCTCCAAAACCTCATGAATTTTTTTTTTCCAGAACGCCTTGAAACTTGAATTAATGTTGTTTCCATCATGATATTTATGATAAATAAAATATGAGACCTATTAGAGACAACACTATGATTACTTCCTTAGTCATTCTGTCATTGTAAACCCCTATCTATTGAAGCATAAACATGCTCCTTCCATCTTTCTAATTGTATACATTTTTTTATCCGGCCTAATATAGTTATTGACAATGAATATTATGGGGACAACACTACTGGAGTATATGAATTTTGATTTTTTTTTTCTTTCCTCTTTTGTAGGTACGCTCATCATATCGAGCAGGAGAGCTCTTTGTGCAGACCATGGTGAAGGAAAGAGCTAAAGACTCATTGAGCAAAAAGTTCTAGCTCTATGTTCAACTTAGGAATCACACATAGGCCAAAACAAGCTAGTAGATTTTTTTTATGAATGTTTTATACAGCGATAGCAGATGTGAAGCACTAGTTCACTAT